ATTGGAACAACAACAGTGAGTAGAGAGCTTCATGGAATGGGTTTCCATGGCCGAGCAGCTGCATCCAAGCCTTACATCACCAAGTGCAATGCAAAGCGTTTGATGCAGTGGTGTAAAGCACGCCGCCACTGAACTCTAGAGAAGTGGAAACATGTTCTCTGGAGTGATGAATCCCGCTTCTCTGTCTGGCAATGCGATGGACGTGTCTGAGATTGGCGGTTGCCAGGAGAACGGTTCTTGCCTGACTACATTGTGCCAAGTGTAAAGTTTGGTGGAGGGGGGATTATGGTGTGGGGTTGTTTTTCAAGAGTTTGGGCTTGGCCCCTTAGTTCCAGTGAAGGGAACTCTTAAGCCATCAGCATACCAAGACATTTTGGACAATTTCATACTCCCAACTTTGTGGGAACAGTTTGGGGATGGCCCCTTCCTGTTCCAACATGACTGCGCAACAGTGCACAAAGCAAGGTCTATAAAAAAACATGGATGAGCGAGTTTGGGGTGGAAGAACTTGACTGGCCTACACAGAGTCCTGATCTCAACCCGATAGAACACCTTTGGGATGAATTAGAGCGGAGACTGCAAGCCAGGGCTTCTCATCCAACATCAGTACCAATGTGTTTCTGGAAGAATGGTCAAACATTCCCAGAGACACACTCCTAAACCTTGTAGACAGCCTTCCCAGAAGAAGCTGTTATAGCGGCAAACGGTGGGCCAACTCAATATTGAACCCTACAGACTAAGACTGGGATGCCATTAACGTTCATGTGCATGTAAAGGCAGGTGTCCCAATACTTTTGGCAATATAATGTATCTTCCAATATGGACACTTGTTCTGGTAACAACTTTGGGGATATTCCTTTCAATTCCTGTTGTGTCTACAGGAGAAAAAGTGAAGTATTATATCCCAAAAGGGACACAGATAGCAAAAACACTGACAGAGGTTTAACCCTTCCTTACACTATCACAAAAAAAAAAAGGTTTTAGCTATAGATTTGCTATGGTTCTCCGTCTATGGCCCCTCTATTATATGCATAGAGATTGCAAAAGGTGGAGACCTTACTATTTTCCTGAAATACTCCTTGGAATAAACTTGTCAGAAGCAAACATAGCGGATGAAAAATGTGTGTGAAGGGTTTACCTTTATTGAAAGCCACACACAGTGGCAGAACTATCGCCGGTGCATGCAAAATGCGCAGCAGGCTTCCCCGCTACGCTAATAGCGTATCTTCGCAGAAGCTGCACACAGTGTGCCGGTTTAAATAGTAACCGGCACGATCTGTATTCATATAATGACAGCGTGAGAGTCGGGACGCTGCGCTTGTCGGTCGTTCCAGGGATCAGGTGAGTATTAAAGGGTTATTAAACCCTCTGGCTTGTTTGCATATATATGAGGGTAGCAAGCAGTAGATATATGCAAAAAGTTGAAAAAAAACCACGCTTTAACAGCGGTTTAAACTTACCCCGTCTTTGCCGCGTGCTCCCGTCCAAAAATCCGAAACTGCTCAGGCGGCTGCAAAGCATCTTGGGGCGGGCACATGAGCAGTTCGGATTTTCGTCCGGGAGACGAGGAGAGACACAAGGTAAGTCTATGGACGCGTGCACCCGCATGCAGACCCCGTGGGACAGGAAGTGCCAGCAAGGACAGAGGAGTCAGCGCTGGATCGGAGACCCGCCGCACCGCTGGAGGGACAGATGAAAACATCAGGAAAGAAGATCGGATTAGGAGACATCAGTTAAGGTAAGTGCTGGCATTTACATTGGGGGGAGGGGGAAAAATTGACTTTAATGTCACTTTAACCACTTCCGGGCCGCAGTACGTCTATAGACAGCGGTCTGCAGAAGTGGGTAAAACAAGAACACAGCTGCTCCGACAGCCGTGCTCTTGGTACTGCTTGTAACAGCAGGCGATTGCTGTGTAACTTACAATCGATCTGGTGTCTGAACAGCGGCTGGATCGTTTGCACCGTGTGGTACCAAACCCCACCGCAGCGGCCACTAGGTCGGTGGGGCTCCCCGCAATGATCAGAGAGAGATTCAGCCGCTTCCAGCCGCTGATCTCTCCTCCAATTACTGGACGCGGAAGTGCTGTGTATTACATCACTTCTGGTGTCACTGTACACAGTCTCTGGCTCTTAGAGCCAGGACAAGAAGCTGGGAAAGCAGATCTCGGCTTCCTCAGCTTGTTTGAGGTCTCTAGGTGACATGAGGGGTCTAAAAGACCCCTCATGCCTCCATAAAGAGGACCTGTCACACCCTATCTGCTATTACACAGGGTGCTTGTTAGTCCCCTATGTAATACCAATAGGGTTAGTGTACAAAAAAAGTGTTTAAAAATTAAAGTAACATAAAAAATAAAAAAAATGGGGAAAAAAATGTATAAGTCCCCCGTCCCCAGATACACACATGTTGGAGCGCCTACATGCGGAAAACGACAATTGTGCTGCACATGTTACATATCGCCTCGAACGTCGCAGTGAGAGCAATAATGAAATTTTTCTGCCGATAGAGCCACGCATCCCTGATTTCTTTCCTCCCCGCTGGGCGCTGCTCTGTGTCCCAGTGGGGAGGATAGAAAGTGAAAACCGGCCGAGCGCTGTGTTTGTGTTTTTTTTTGGGGGGGGGGGGGGGGGGTCCTCCACTGACCACACATAAAAATGATCAGTAGCTCAGAGATAATGCAAATTAAGCTATATGCAAATCTTGATTTATGCTGTAAAAGTTGGTCTTGGCCTTCTCTATTCCACTCTCTTGGGCCTCTGTATTAGTCCTATGTTGTGATGGACAGCCTCACTGATCATTAGGGCAGAAATCTATATCTGTGGGTTTACTGATCTTTCAGACAGGTGATTTTCATTTCACTTTTTAGGTTGAACACAAGACACAAGTTAATGAAGCTCTGTTTTCATTAATATATTATTAAATGTATTTTTTAAAAGAAAGTAGTTTAAGTACCTGAGTTTGACCTGGTATAAGCCCCCTGTACAAACAGGTTTGAGTATGAAAAGAAGAAGCAGAGCAAGGAGCCACTCAGTTCATGTGCTGTTGTCTAGCATGCTGACTATCCGATCACAGGCTGGGCAGGTTCATAACAGCCTGGCCTTGGAGGAGTTGAATGATGCTGGCTGTCAGGTTGAAGACATCTAATGATGGGAAAAAGTACTGCATTGGACAGCTCTTGGTTGAAGTCCAACATAGCAGCAAAAGCTGCTTTTCTTATATATTTAAAGAGCTAATCATTTGTATCCTTTTATATTAATCTTTAGTCCTTGCTGAAACAGTTCCTATATAAGGTAAAACCAGTGGCGTCACAAGGGGGGTGCCCGCACCCGGGTGACACCATTGGAGGGGTGACACCAAAATGACTCACAGTCACCCCCCCCCCCCTCTGAAAAGTCGGGCGCTCGGTCATGGACCGAACGCCCAACAGTATCAGGAGAGAGGAGGGGACCCGGCGGCATATCTTATCCCACCAGGTGACTGTCCCCTCCTCTCTCTGTCGGCCTCCATCACCAAGATGGCCGCTGGCAGGTATCAGAATACTGCCACGCGTGCGCGACGACATCATCACGCACGCGCGTGGTGACGTCTCGGTGGGGTGACACTCGGTTACCGCTCCGGGTGTCACCCAGCCTCGGGACGCCCCTGGGTAAAACAGTTCCCATATATGTATTTAATTGTGTATTTAGCTGTTTACCTGGAATTTAAGAACCATTTAAAAACAGATTCATTATTCAAACATACAGATTCTTCAAGCCAGAAATCCCATATGGACACAGCAATCATTTTGAACCTAAACAATGAGGAATCCTCATTCTGGTATAGAGTTCATGGAAGACTGCACTCTCCCAGCCTAGGATCAGGGAAAAGGGATACAGTGATTTGACTGAACTGTTGTGACATTACTAGGATAACAGCGTCTATTATTCACTGATCTATATATCATATGGCATATGGAGGACATTTAAAAACCCATCAACTCATTGCAACACCATTGTTCCCAAAACCGCAAAGCATAATTTGTTTGCATCAAATTAATTATGGTTGTTTATTGTGCAATGCTGAGATGCAGACTATTAGGGTATGTTGTGCTGTGGCATTTGCAAATGCAGCATCAGTGTTAAACTAAATTATATTCACATTGTGAAGAGAGGGAGATACTCTTCAGGTTTGGAAAACAAAAACAATAAAACAAGAATAGCTTCTGCCTTTGCTTCATTTAAAACATTCAGACAATAAGGGGGACAAAAACATCAGTTCCCGCAATGTTTAAAGATTCTTTTTATGTATTTTGACATCATCTTAGAACATCTTAACTAATTAATAATACTGTTCATTACTGATGTTCATGGTTATTATGGTCCACTACACTAGATATTCGTTCTGAGAATTCCTGGTGCTAAACCCCAATTATAGTTCGAAGTATAGTTTACTGAATTCAGCAAAACATTCACCCTTCACCAACATCTACAATACCTTTTCCAGCAGAGGAGGAACCTTCATCCTGTTGTTCTGTACAGTGCTTAGCATACTCCAGTCCAGCGAAAAAAATGCATTTTGCTGCTGTATAACATGCTTGTCATACTAATCCAAACATATAAAAAGTTGCCATATGCAAAATGGGTGCCTGTGTTATTACACGGAGTAGTTACAAACAAGGAATATCTGCTTTTCTTTGAAAGCCCATCTAACGCAAAAAAGAAAGGTTAGTGGAGCTTAGTTCAAGAGCATTTGCAGCTATGCAGAGAATGATTTGCTGCTTTATATTTAATTTGAAAGTCTAAATATTTGTTTTGTGGACCATACATAGTCTGGAAGAGGCTATTCCTGAAAGAGTATCTAACATCTTCCACTACCATTCCATATGTAACTACTTTACATCCAGAGACACCTGCATGTTTAGCCTATTGCAGTGCAGGGGTCACTGGCAGTGATGAAGTTAAAGTGCCACACGTGACAAAGCCTTAGCCATAATATTAATTCTTTATTCAACACTTTTCTAGGATTACCGAGTTAACATTTTTTTGAGGCAGCAGTGGAATGACCCCAGACTGTCTTACAGTGAATACCCTGATGACTCCTTAGATTTGGATCCTTCTATGTTGGATTCGATTTGGAAACCAGATTTGTTCTTTGCTAATGAAAAGGGGGCAAACTTCCATGATGTCACAACGGACAACAAATTGTTGAGGATTTTTAAAAACGGAAATTTGCTGTACAGTATCAGGTAAGCTAAAGTGTTTATTTGGTCAGCTGGATAATAATGTAGATTTCCTATCTACATTTTCTACCCAAAAATTCCAAGGGTAGCCACCACACTCTACTTGTGAAGTAAATGCCTAGGTGCTCATCCGCAAAAAATATCCATACAATTTCCAAAATAGGTATAGAGACATTCACAGGTCTTACAACGGAGATACGTCAAAGCAACAGCATTTTATTGTCAACATTTTGATGGAGCTCAATCTGTCCTTATCAAGATGTCTTGATCAAGGTCTTGATCAGACTAAGCTCTGTGAAAACATTGATAATAAAATGATGTTGCTTTAGCCTGTCTTCGCTGCAAGGCCCATGAGTGCATCTATACCTAATTTTGAATTTTATACATTTTCTACCTACATATTTATCACATGCTCTTCATTTCTCCACATATTTAAGTAGCTATCTGCTTTATTTTCACATTACCTGACCTTGCTCTGTCCTATTACCTACACCTATTTTTTTTAAACTTTACTTGCTGCCATGAGTCATCTGTAGATAGTTGACAATAAATGGGAAAACATGACAATATGAAGCAGTTCTTATAATACATAGGCAACAAATGGTCAATCGTTACAATATCTGCCCAACATATTTGAAATTTTGAGTGTACGTGGGCAACAAACAAGCAGTCATAGCATACCATGTGGGCAGCTAGCTAGAAAGTGCCGCAATACATATTAATAGGCATTCAGCTTTTTACCATTTGTTTTGTAACATTTACCAAAAATGCTAATACCAAGGAATGTGTAATTTGTAATCAAAGGATATGAAATACTAATATTTAAAATGAACAGGTCACAATCCCAGACAATTCTGTACACATGATGAAAAATTGCTGAAGCAGAGCTTAAAGTGCACATGTATACAGACTATAGACATTAAACTATTTATATATTTTAACAAGCTGTAAAAAAATGCCTTTCTCAACTCTCTAATTGCTTTTAATGTGAAGTTAATAATTCTCGAAGATTTTCAAAGATCACAACAAAGACTCCAATGTTGGGTTTGAGATGGTTTCTAAGAACTTAGGAACATTTGCTGGTTGTTTGAATTAGAGGGCTAATAGGCTGACAACATCTGCTCTCCACAGAAAAAAAGAAAAACATTTCTCTGCCTGTCTTATGTACTTTGAAAATGGATTTCTCTACAAGGCCTATAGATTCAGAGATAAATGAGGGCTTGTCTTAAAGTGAAATATGCAAATACTTAAGTGTGCATGATCTGTGTACAGGTTTACTTTAAAGTCCAACTGCACTTTTAAATAACAATAAAAAAATAAATAGCCCATCCCTTGTTTAAATCTGTTAAAACTAAAATAGCCGCTTTTGCTGCAAAACTCAACTTCTCTTCAGCAATCTTCAGTCTCACCACTCTGGAGTTGGGCTTTAATTCTGAAGTGCATACCTTTCCTGGAGAAAGTTGCTTTTGGCTCCCTGAAGTGTTGGTCACATGTCTAAAAGCTTAGGCATTATTCTCTATGCCTGGGATAGCAAATTAACTGTTCTTTTAACCAGACCGCCATATTGAAGCAAGATGTAAACAAAGTCCTTCATTCTTGTGGTAAAAATAAAATCAATGTATCTGCATCTGAGGTCTGTAGTTCTGCAGGCAGTTTTACCTTAAACCTCGGCCTAGGTCCTCTTCAACTCCTATAATGCCTGGACCGTTGCAAGCAATGCTTGTCTTGATCACATTTCTTGCAGAAATGAAGGATAAAACATGAAGTTTTTCCAGCATTACAAATTTAAACAACTTTGGTGCAGGTGCATATTGTGCATTAATTTGCTTAATTTTTATAACAACAACAAATTCTACAGGGATTTACAGAGCCCGCAGCCCACAACCCACATGTTCTTACCACCAAAAGAGCTTATCTCTAACGCAGTTATAGAAACACACACACACCAAACGGTAATTTTTTTGTGGAAGCCAATATGCATTTGAATTTTAAGAAGGGAATGATGTAAATGCTGGAGAACATACAAACTCCATACATATGGTGTCCCAGCACTACACCACAAAAGCACTAGCTTTCTTATATTGTGTCTTTCGTAGGGTTTGCGCACCATTTGTCTAGGGGACAAGCACAGCTAACTGGCCTTTTAATGGTAGGGACAGATTTTTGTGTGTTAAAGAAAATGTATCATGCAAAGTGTGCCACCGTGCCTCATTGCTTGGTGGGCATGGTGAAAGGTGGGTGTTCCTAAAGGACATGGTTTATTGTGGAACACCTTTTCACATCTTGCAGCATCCCCCTTCTTTGCAACTATCTCATTTGGTCACAACACCTCAAAGTCACGTAGGCAGTTGGTGCTGGAAAAACTCCCTCTGCTAGACTCTGTGATTGCAGGTCTAGACAGGGAGCATGTGGCTATACAATGCTCAGCATGAGCACTGACTGCGGGTCACACACTGTTCAGTGTCTGAATGGTGACAAAGCTCCACGAAGGTCCACCATCCCAACATATCTCATTAGTGATGGACCAAGGGACACATGTATCCATGCTCCTCAGCCCATGCCTCCCCCGGTTTGCTAGCAAATTCAAAGTTTAGAATTAAACATAAAATTATATATTTAAAAACATGATTCTTTATTTGCATCTAAACCCTGGCATGTGTTTTAGTCATTAACCATTGTCGGCTGTTTAAAGCTGCAGCATTGTAAAGTAAGGGATACATTTGTTTTTCTTTTGAAATGTGAAATCTTGTGCCTGATGTCTGTCAGAATATTGTTGCACTCCAAAGTACAGCTGTGAACACCGTTTTGCATAAGTTTTCAGAATTTTTAACTTGGGAAAATGTCAAGTGCATTATTCAGTTCATTTCACAATGGCACCCAACTGGCTTCTATTTCTCAGGGAAATGGCATTTGATGTCACTTTGGCTAGAAATACCATTCTATCTAATGTAATGGTTTGACAGACTGCTTGTAAGCTTTCCCTTTGTAAATAAAGCTATGCTGATGTGTCACTGAACATCAGATTGAAATGTATTGTGATTTTGGAATTTTCTTTTTCTACTCTTCTTACTAACATGTTCTACATGTTCTTCTATTTTTTTTTTTTTACCTGCACTAAGGACACCACTTATAAAGCAGCTTCAGACATTTCACTTTTCTATGAAAAGCGTCTCTTACACATTTATGAAGCTCTGCTGCATTCTTTATAAACGTGGTTTTCATAGTGCAACTCTGGAGCAAGAAAGCCCTATTTATTCTAATGCATGGGAAAAAATATGCTGTTTGAAGAAACCTGTCATATGACCTTAAAACATTATTCCTATCCTCCTGTGAAAGGTCTTTGTAGTGTTAACGGAGAATACACTGCATGGCATTGTAGGCTTGTAGGAAGCTAATAATTGTGTCCAATTGAATACAGAGTTATCTCGAGATTCCAGGGGCCATCCTGGAAACACAGAGGCTATATAGACCCACTTTCCACATGACAGTGAGGTCCTTTGCCTGAGGTAATTGTGCACCAACACACTACCCACTTGTTAGGGACAGATAGGCCTTGCCCCTCAGTTGAAGAGTGGTGGAGCCCTGAGACCCAGGAGCCAAGGTGGTAGTTTCCTTAAAGAAAGGTATAAACTGTGGCCGCACACCAGTAGCGCTGACCAGCTGTTACTAAAGTGAAGAGATTCGGACCGGCCCCAAAAGCTTAACCTCTTCCAGCTGGCAAAACATATATATGTGGCAGTACGGTGGATGAGGCTTAAAGTGACAATAAACCCTTTAACATAAACCAATACTGTAATGTGTGCCTTACTGTAATCCATGGTAGTTTCCCTTCTCTATGCTGCTCTTCCTTTTAAATCTGTATCTCTTCTCATGCTTGGGGAGAACTTCCCTTTGCAGCTGAGTGCCTCTTCCTGTAGTGCTGGCTCAGGTTGTGAACCTTCACACAGACACCATTAGGGTGATTTACTAACCTAAACACACACACACCAGGTGTGTGTGATTTTCACACAGCAAAACGTATTTATCAACCAAAAAGTCTCTAAAAGCATATTTCCACTAATGCCATATATGGAAAAATCATGCACATGATGCATATATAATGCTGCTTCACAGTTTAGACAAAAATGGTTAGCTCATGCATTTACATTCCTGCATTCATCAACGCAAGCAACATAACATAGAGCTAATTTACACCACATTACCTTGCAATTCATTGCAGGGCTTTGCACAACACACCTGCTGGGTGTGTACACACTACAAAGGTGTTTCGATTCCTCCCATAGATCATGCTGGGAGGGAACACACTACAGAGGTGTATACACGTTCGTGGTGTGTTTAAAAGGTTAGTAAATCAACCCCCATGTATCCATTTCAGAGACAAGGCAGTCTGCTGCAAAACAGAAGTTCTGCCCTAGCATGAGAAGAGATACAGATTTAAAAGGAAGAGCAGCAAAGAGAAGGGAAACAACCATGGATTACAGTAAGGCACACATTACAGTATTGTTTTATGTAAAAAAAATCTGAGGGTTTAATGTCACTTTAACTCCAGGCTGCCACATATATGAGTCCATAAGGATCCGCTGTTGTGTGATGAGTGTGCCCCAGATCTTTATAAGTAGGCCCCTAAGACAATGATATCTGGAGTCTGATTGTTAAGACCAGCACAGACACCTGCGGACTCTTTTCATACATAAAACTTGATCAAACTATGTGAAAGGGGCCTTGGGCTTATGAACATGTAACAAACAAATATGGCTGCTTCCCTGTAAATAATGTATATATTATACCACAACCATACTGTATTTTTAAAAAGACTTAAAAACACGTGCAATAAAGATAAAACATATGAAATAACATAATTAAATTTATTATATCACTATGCACCGTGCATAAAAGAAAAGCACAGTTACTTTCAGTGAGTGCATATCATTGTAGAGCAGGGACGTGCGGTCAGGGGAGGCAGGTGAGGCAGACCTCACCTAATATATAGAGGAAAATGCTCTCAGCTTTAAGAAAGCCTCCCCGCTCTGTGACCTGCCATGGATGGAGTGCTGCCTGTTAATTACAGACGCTGCTGCATCCAGCTTTTGACAGCTAAGTTAGGTTACACAGCATTGGGCTTCCCCACTGCTTGTGTAACCTAACATAGTGAGGCAAGAGCTGCAACAGCCTCTACTCTGTATTAGAGGCTTGAGCTCTGTGGATGGCATGGACCAATGGCAAAGCGCCATGGGTCCAAGCAGTTCAATCAAAATAAAGAGAAAAAAAACTTAGGACATCGAGCTCGATGCCTCACCAGTGACGAGCAAGTGAGGGACAGGGAGGCTCCTCCTTGTCTCCTCCCTTTCTCCTCAACACATAGCTTGGCAAACGGGATGGGGGCAGGGCATCAGCGGGCTGTGTGCAAGGTGGGCTGGGGGCAGGGCATCAGAGAGCTGTGTGCGGGGCTAGGTCGGGTAGGGAGAATGCCTTACTCAGCAGCGAAGTTACTGCACGTCGCTGTTGAGTTTAGCTTAAATTAAACCTGTAGTGAAAGAAAATGGAATAGGTTTCACAGACCTAATCAAATATGCAGGAATTTTGACTTCACTGTGACTTTCAAATGTGCATGCTTGTTCCAGGTCAGTGACTGAGAAAGTATTGAAGCTAGATATAGCCCAGCAAACAGCATTTTAATGCTTCTTTTAAAGTAATTTTTTCACATTTCTTCAAGCTTGCCATCACATTATTTTTGTTACTGTATTATAGAATATGCACCAGAAGAGGTTAGAAAATAGCCACCCCCTGATTGGTCTCCCTGCAGGATTCCTTTTCTTTAGTTTTTATAAACTGGACAAAATACTGTAAAGATTCCTCTTTCTTGCCTACAGATCAGTGACAATGCACTGTGATTAAAAAAAAGTGTCTCTGTATCATACTACAGCACACTAATAATGAGCTTTGCATTTCATGCTACTGTTATAAAATCAATGGCTAAGTAACTGATGATTTATATTTATATAAATCATCATAAGTCTATAAATTATGCAAGCCAAATTAGCATGCATTCTGAAACATGCCAGCAATATTTACCTTAATCAATTAGTAATCCCAATGAGAGATGAAACTTGTATGTAGCCAAGTTAATCATCCATTCATAGCACAACACTGTGTATAATGTAATAATAACGCTATTATTTTACAGTTTTAGAAGTTTTAAAATCATAAAAATAGATTATATTTACAGATTCAGTAACCAGAGAAACTGGAACTTTTTGAATAAGAAAATTGTCCATGTGACCTGGTTCTTAAAGAATAGTTTACAGTGGTTTTCTGTGTTGAAAGTTGCAAAAACCTTTGCTGACCGGTGAGAGGCATATCGCTTGCACCCATTAGGTTGTATTGAGGCACACATTTCATCATGTTTCATCACGTGGTTATGAATTGTTGGCATATTTCATGATGTTTACACTATTTTTGTCTCTGATACATTACTGCTTAGGTTTTTCAATTGTAAATCAATTTCAGTTTGCTGAGCTGCATATCCCAATTCGTCTGATAACACAGTATGCCAAGTCCTAAGTGATTACTCGAGTCACCCAGAGCAGCTTGCAATCTTTTAACTGATGCACCCAGCACAGATACAGATCATCCTTCAGGCACAGCTCTACAGCAAAGGCCACTAATTGACCCAATAACTGAATCCCTATGGCCCATGTGAGTCAACATCCTCTTGAATAGTTAGTTGCAGGCTCAAATACAAAGCCCCCCCCCGCAACACACCCAATCTTACTCTGCAGAACTGAAAGCTCCTCCGCTCATAGGTTCCTGGGATAAGTTACACTATATGGCCAACATTTTGTGGAAACTTGACCATCTCATCTGATAAATATCCAAAACTGTGACTGCCCCTGTGCACCAAGCCAGATTTACATTGCCTGACTTCTTTGGTGTGAAGGAACTGAAGTGACGTGCACAGAGCCCTGATCATAACCCTGTTGAACTCCTTTGGGTTAAATGATAATACTGATTGTAAGCCAATTCTTTCACCCAACAAATTTACCCAAATTCATATAGAAGTGATGGTCAGATGCCTACAAATTGTTGGTCATATAATGTTTGCCTGGCTCCTGACTTCCTGTTACAGTATAGCTTGGAGATATAGCTTAAATCACTCTGTAAGTCCAGCCACTGCATGTCCTTGTGCAGCAGTTGTATATGAGCAGTCTCTACTCTGTTACACTAGGGATTAGCAAGCAATGCATAGTAGGCATGTGTCAACATGGTTTTGTAGAAATAAACACAATAAGGTTGTATTCACAAGGAGTTTCATAGAATATATGTCATTTCATTGTACTTGATAAAATAGTTAATTGTGGAAATGAAAAAACTGAATGTTCCTCTTAATTTGTTATAGACTGACATTAACGTTGTCCTGTCCAATGGATTTGAAGAATTTCCCTATGGATGTACAGACATGTGCAATGCAGTTGGAGAGCTGTAAGTGTTTCACAAAATTGTTTTTCCAAAACTGTTCTCTAACATAAAGGAAAAGCAGTATTTGTCTCGTGTGGGAAAGTTGAGTTTTGAGTTATCTGAATCCATTGAGAGAATCAGTGTTGCCTTGGAAACCAGGCCATACAGGAACTGTGATATACAAATTAAGAAATTCTGTTCTAATCATTAACTTTTAAGTAATTCTGCCATAGCCACCAGCCTAATCTGCTTTCTGCAGCAAAATTATTATAAGATGCCTTTTTCTTTATAACATTTCATCATACCAGATAAAACCTGGGACAAATTAAATGTCACCTTTAATGAATGTATTTAAAAGGCCCAACATTTCCTTTACTCATTTCCATGCTGTCTGCTGACGAGGTTGCTTTGGCATCATTGCATCCTAATGAGGAGGCTTTTAAAGATCATTTATAATTTATGAAAATTCCACAAAAATTGCCTTTTAAATTTTTTTTTACAATTATGTAAAAATTGTATGTACAGAAAACTTCCCTAAACTGAGTCTACATTTTAATAGATGTTATACTGTTAATAACTGTAGAAAATAATCAAATGATTACCTTGCTATATGTAATTATATTATGTATCCATTGTGATCAACAGGGAAGGTTAAAACTACTGTATGGTTGTTGGTACTGAAGTTCCCATAGTCAAATGTAGATATCTATAGGCAGTCACAGACAAAACTATATAACAACATGAAAGTTTCCCAGTTGGGGGGATCTTTATTGATCCCTTACAGAGATAAATATAACACCATAGATATACAGTATATCTATTAGGGCCTTGTGAGTAGTTATGTTAGGTGGTTTTTGAATACCAATAATATAGAGAAATTCACTTTTTTTTTGGTAAGGTCTTTCTGTTCTTTCCTCTGACAGTTACATAGATTATTGGAATTCACATCCTGCACACTTAGTAGTTACACTACAGCTATACTTGCAGGGCCAACTATTGCAAAAAGTTCTATACATCACTGTAAACAGCTGAAGATAATGTTGGCACGATATAAATAAAAGGTCCATAACAAATGAGGTGCTAGAGCTGAGTAACCACATGGTTGCCTTTGAAGCAGAACTCCAGACATGTCCTATACACTGTGTATTGGATGAGATGATTCACGGGACTTTAGACCACTGCAGTGGAGGGGGAGAGAGGTTTCAGGTACTGGTGTACGAGCAAGCTGGCTCTGAGGATCGGGTGAGTATTACTTTTTTATTTTAACGCCTAGATAAAAAAAGCTGTACAAGGGCATAGTGTGCATTGTGTTAATACAACACATTACTGTGTATGCGGTGCACTGTTTTTTGAATGGACTGGCAGTGCACCTTAAGGCAAAATTGAACATGTGCCTTTTTCCAACACAGCACGCACAATGCCTGGCATGTGTGTTGTGGTGTGCTGTGGTGCATTAGCTGCTACTATACTCTGCAACAGTGAATGGCACCACGGTATGTGAGTTATCATGAACTGCGGTAACCCATATTGTACTACATATTACTATAACACACCAACTTGAAGTAACCCTTAGGATTTTAATTGTAAATACCACCCAATCATGGCAAAATTATAGGCAGAATACATTTTTCTGCCAACTTATCAGAGAAAATTGAATGCAAGTGTTATAAAAAAATAGGGTAGGTTGATGTCTATGGGCCAAACATGTCAGTGATATTTTTTCCAGAGAATAAAGAAGCAGAAAGCAGTTATCTTGTGTTATAATAAGCATTTTATAAAACCTTTACATAATGCAAATCATTCAGCTTTTCTTCCAAATAAAGGGCAATAATTGGACCCGGCTTAGTGTTCAGTTCTTTGCCCTCTCCAAACGAAGAGAAAATGCTTGTTTTTCTTTTTCATGAGACATTGATGTGTCTTCAATTTACAATCTAATCATCTGTGGTTTGTTTATCCTAGTTGGATACACAATGAATGACCTTATATTTGAATGGATGAGCAATAGCCCCGTGCAAGTCGCTGATGGTTTAACGTTGCCGCAGTTTATACTAAAAGAGGAGAATGAGCTTGGCTACTGCACAAAGCATTACAACACAGGTAAATGGCCTTCCTTATGATTTTCATTATCTTTATGTATATTTACTATTGATTTCATTATGCACAATCACAGCAAATGCAAACAATGTAGAAGAAAATGAAATGCTGTTGATAAAGGATAGCATTTGAAGTTCAGAAAAACCTGGCAACTTTGCTCCACCAATGATGTAGTGGGGTAGAGGACAAGATTCCCTTCACTGGATGACAATTTGCAATCTGCCCATTTTATAATTCACTAGCAAACATTGGATCCTTTACTAGTTTACTTGGGGAGCATTTGGATAAAAGTACAAGCGGGATCCAATAGGGATCTAACTTTTATTTACAAGCAGATTGTGCAGGGGATTTGGAGGGATTTTTTTCTGCCAATGTGATGTTATAGCTCGGGTTGCCACCTGCCCAGGATTCACCCGGACAGTCCGGGTTTTGAATGCTGCGTCCGGGTTTCATGGTAGCAGAAACCCAGACACAAGATGTCAGGCAGACAGGGGCAACCAAAATTAAGATGGGGGCTGCTGGCCCCCCATTAAAAATAGTGTCAACTGTGATATTTACATATGAATGGACAGGGCTATTTCCATATAAATAAGCTGCGACTCGTTCTCCCAAAAAAATGCTGAGCGTCACTACAGTGTTTGGGCTTCGCTTGAAGAAAAGGTGGCAACCCTAGTTATAGCCCTATTAGGTAGATACTAAACTTCCTTATCAGATATTACTATAATATAAAGTGTACATGGTTTCTTAGCGACAACATCACAGGGCAGGTGAAAAATCCTGTCCTATAACCCTCTGCACCCTCCACAGAATCCCTGCTATATCTTACTCACTAGAGACTGTGAGGTGCCTACACTCCACTGGAAATTAGACTTTGTCTATGTTTGGCCCACTTGCTACTCTGCACTGTGGAATTGAACTGGTACAGGCTTACCTCGTTATGATGGTTTCACAGAGTAGCAAGCATTGGCAACATAAAATAAACACCCAATATCTGGGGATCAGCACAATTTACCAAGAATTTACCAATTTACCAGTAGGGCAAAACTATTTACTGATCCCAATAGGAAATTCACATTTTGAGATTATATGTTTACATTTACCTGAAAGCAATATTTCATATGACATAACATTTTTACTTTTTTGTACTTCTATTGCATTACTCGGGTATTATAGCTTTGTAGATTACCCATATTATGGCTAGCTGTATGTCTAAAATGTTCAGTCAGGATCCTAACTGAGGATAAGTTTACCCCTATACTTCAGATAAATGTTGTCAGAGGCCACGGGAACAGGTAATGATCATATGTACCTCTATGGAAACGTCTGCAAACCCACCCACTGTATGGTATGAAAAAACTTGAAATATTAGGGAGAATATACCACCAAGAGCATTTTTAATTCTGCAAGGAATGCACATGTGGTAGAAACATGATGGCTGACTGATAAACAAAGGCAAGAAAAAAAGGAATATTGTGACCATTTAAACCCTGCTGCAGTGCTAAAGGCTTTGTATACATTATTATATAAGGAAAGACTGGGCTTTTTATATATAAATATATGAGGATAGCAGGGACGTGAAGTCAGGGGAGGCAGGTGAGGCAGAGCCTCACCTAGTATTATGAAGAAAAAGGGTGTCAGCTTCAAGTCTGACAGCATTTTCTCCATTCAGAGCGGCTTGTTACAGGTTAGACAGCAGGGAAAGTCTCCCCGCTGTGTAACCTGCCATGGACGGAGCTCTGCCTGTTAATTACAGGCAGCGCTGCCTCCAGCTTTTGACAGGTAGTTAGGTTACAAAGCAGCGGCCTTCCTCACTGCTTGTGTAACCTAACATAGTGAGGCAAGAGCTGTCACAGCCTCTAATCTGTGTTAGAGGCGTGAGCTCTGTGGATGGCTTGGACCAATGGCAAAGCGCCATTGGTCCAAGCTGTCTAATAAAAAAAAACCAGTGAGGATATCGATCTCGATGCCTCACCAGTGATGAGCAATTGAGGGACAGGGCTCCTCCCTGTCTCCTCCCCACACAGATTAGTTACTGAGCTGGGGGTGGGGCATCTGCGGGATAGGGATGGGGCTTCGGTAGGACGGGGACGGGGCTTCGGCAGGCTGGGGGATGCCTCACCCAGCACAGAAGGCATGGCACGTACCTGGAGGATAGGCCAGGGGAAATATGTACAGCATTGAGGAAAGTAGGGAAATGGGGGACATGACTGAAACCTTTCAATACAATAGGATGTAAATAAGGTACATTAGGGAAGTATTTTCAATATGATGGGGAGCTCCAGAACATGGCGACATGACCTGAAACTAGGGGAATGGAAGTTTAATAATAACTCTATAAAGTAGAATTTTTCCAAAAAGCATAGTGGCTGCCTGGAATAGATTTTCAGCAGAGGTAGTAGAGTTGATTTACCAAAGGCAAATAAGTTGTTTACTTTGCAAGGGAATGTGTATTTCACAAGTGAAGTCCCCCTTAGCTTTCTTCTGGAGTGGGGCTACTTTTGTTCCCCATGCTCACTGTGTGTGTTGTAAAGTAGCCACCGCTCCAAGCTCACTGCCGTGATGGACTACAATCTCAATACAAATGAGTAGACTATTTGTGAGGTTGTAGTACATCACGGGAGAGAGTTTTCACAACACTCAGGGACCATGGGGAACAAAAGTAGACACCCTCTAGAAGGAAGGACAGTGTCAGCACCAATTCAGAGATGATTTGAGGATCTACAGCTGAGTGATACCCAAATAAGCTAAATTTTTGTTAATAGTTAGGGTACTTGAATAAATTTTTAAGATTTAACTCCTGTGTTTAGTGTCACTTTAATGAAATTTCACTCGTGACATTTCAGTAAAGTTCTAACAAGAAAACAAGGTGAACAGTGCAATATGCAGAGCGCATTGGCACTGTGACAACTGACACACACCAGCAGCTGTGCATTGTAGTGCAGCCACTGGTGTGAATGCACCCTTAATCGCCATGCACGAACACTGAGGAGGATGATGTCATCAACCCTATGCAAGGTCTTACAATAGCTGACCCAGAGTACACACAGGATTTGACTCCTGGTGAAACGCAATAGTGGATGGGAAGTCAGGGCTGTCCCTATAGTATTTCCTACCTGAGGAATTGCTGTCCCTGGGGGCAGGGGTTGGGGTTGCCGGTGCTCTCCCTGATTTGTCACTTTGGGGGGATGCCGGACTGTCAGCAGCTTTGTCCGGTGTCCCACCCAGCTCACAACATCACTGAATCCTGCTCAGCTTCTGACGACCAGTGTCATCAGTGAGCTGGTCAGGAAGTCACACTGAACTTCACAGGTTGGTAAGAGCTCCTAAGATACACTTGTTCACTAGACATGTAACCCCCATAAAAAATGTGTTTAATTTTGTTTTAGATGGATTCATATTTTTATTCTTTTAGTTTTTTGGATAACCAATTTGATTTGGTTTGATATTCCTTATTCAGATGCATTTGAATTTTTGGTTTTCATTGCCGATCAATACATATTTTTAATTTTTTGTTTGGATCTATTCGGATCTTTTCCAATTGGGTTCTTTAATTAAACATTAACTTAATTAATGTTTTAAAAAAAAAATAATTGCAGTTTGTTACTGATCATCGTAGTCCGCACTAATCCATTTAGTCCGTACTGGTCATTTTAGTCCGTATTGATCATCTTAGTCCGTACTGCTCATCTTAGTCCATACTGGTCATTTTAGTCCATAATGGCCATTAGACATGTAACCCACAAAAACATTTTTGTTTTTTCTTTATTCCTTTTGTGGGGTGTTAAATATTTTTGGTGTGGAACCATTGGAGATCAACATAACGTAACTTAAAAAAACATACCAAAAGATTTTCACATCAATTGTTATGAAATTAAGAGGGTTATTCACAAAGCTTCAGCTGGCTTCAGTTCAGTCAAAAAGGCTCAGCATGTCATCTGGATCGGCTGAGCCAAAGCTCCGGCAGCTCACTTGCTGCTGTTCCCCCCTATTAACATAGGGGCCGAACGGTAGTGAGTGAATAGCCGAATGCAGCCAAGTGGCAAATAAAGATTGAAAAAAATGTAAAAAATTAAGATTATTTTAAAAAAACAACCAAAAATACAATTGGGAGGGGCCAGCAGTGACAGCTAGCTCCGCCCAACTGTTTCCTATTGGCCGGGACCTGCTAGAGACTTCTAGCAGGTCCCGGCCAATGAATAACAACTATCATTGCAACTGGGCGGAGCCAGCCATGGGATCACGGCGGACTCCACCCAGCTGTCATTTGCAAGGCGTTCACCCCGCTCCGGGTGTCACTTCAACTCAGCCGAGCCGAAGCATATGCCTTTGGCTCGATTGAGCCGATCGACTGACTTCCATACTAGCTTTGTGAATAACCCTCTTAGTTTCAATTTGATCAAAATTTGAATGAATTTGCTTGAATTCGGAAATTCGGATGCATTCGAATTTCTGAATTTAATGAGATTCATCCGAATTTCTGAATTTTATGAGATTCATCCAAATTTCTGAATGTAATGAGATTCATCCGAATTTCTGAATTTTATGAGATTCACCTGAATTTCAATTCGGAATGAAATGAAATTGACATGTCTACTGTTCACATGCATGCAGCTGTTCTACTGGAGTTCCACTTTAAACATGTAATTTCTCTTAAGAACATGATGTTGATGCAGCAGTAGGACACTGTATCATATCTTGTATCATTCTATTTTTTTTGTGTGTTCAGTGAAGGTCATAATAATGTTCCCATGTGTACTGTAATATCAGATAAGGGATTATCCATGCATACATATGCTGTGTGATCTATCTGCACTACACTGGTGCGTATATTGCATGTCTTCTTCAAATGCTTCCATAATAAATCAAAAAGACCACTATCATGCTATGGAAAAAAACAACCCCCAGAGACTCCTCAAAGCTTTCTCCTGACTGATAGGAGTTCATTAGATTCCTCTTGTTGAGAGAATCCAATGAATACATAGACAGGCTTCTGATTCTTTCCAAATGAATACATCTGAACCACAACCATAATTTCCCAGATAAACATGAGCGTATTCCAGTTGCAGCATTTGTGTCATTGTGCTCAATCTTGTAATGAAACGTGGCAGAATCAGCCATATGTGTCATACTTGCATCTGTCACTCTTAGGAAAAAATATCCTGTAGGTCCCAGGTACAAGAGGGTCACGTTCAGTATAAAAAGTACAGGCACAATTTTAAAAGGAAATAATAGAACTTTCCAGCTACGGATAAGAAAGATTTGCGCAGAGAGAAGACAAAGAATTGCGGTGTCACTGTTAATCATTTTCCACTTGAGTCCTGGAAGCATGTAAAATGTTTAGACTTAATGCATGTCTGTGATTTCATGCAAAGCTTGGAAGATAAAAATATGTCACACAGAGGCAGAGTAACGTGACTGGAAATGCGACTAGTTATTGCAAGGACGTAGTTGCTGCTGGTTGTGCATGCGTAGTATTTTATTAAAGAATGAAGAAGCCTCAAAAGGCATATTCTCAAAGAGACCAATTTAACTGTAATCGCCCGGGTGTCTTTACTAATAGGATTTATGACCAATTTCTAGTGAATGTGTATATGTATCATAGAGAATTGCTGACTTAAGACTTACCCGTGATTTATATTTAATATTGGGATAGATTTATTAAAAATAATTTTAAGTTCGGTTTACTATCTGCATCCAATATAATGTATGTTTTATTTTTTCGTTTTAGATAGAGTGGAGAAGGATTAGAAAACCCTATCAGATTGTTATCACTGTCTGCATCCTGACTGGGGAGATTCACCCCTCTGCTTGTCCTGATGACCATTGTCATTAGGAGAGATGAAAAATCCCAACTTCAGATTGTTATCACTGTCTGCATCCTGACTGGGGAGATTCACCCCTCTGCTTGTCCTGATGACCATTGTCATTAGGAGAGATGAAAAATCCCAACTTTAAATCAGACAAAATCAAATAGATACAAAAGTAAATCAAAATACCACTCTTTCAATTAGAATCTGCTTCCAAATCACCACATTGGACACTCAAGAAGACATTTGCACTTATTGCGTGATCATTCAACATAAGCTTGTAGGATCAATTGCGATTTTTCAGACTGTCTGCATCCAGAGTTACGCACAGGCTTATTCACAAAAGGGTGAAGAGTTGGGGGAAGGCAGGAGAAGTGAACAATCTAGGCCAAAATAGCTGATCTGGAAAAATTCTCCAATTCAGCTCATTTTCCAGTTCAGCTATGTTGTCCTAGATTGTTCACTTCTCCTGTCTTCTCCAAACTCTTCACCCTTTTGTGAATAACCCTGGCAGTGTACATAAGTACCTCCATATAACCACCTACCACCATGTACAGCCATTGACTGATATGGTAGGCTATACGCAGCACCTGTGGCTCCCTGCTGGTTGAAATACAATGGTATTAACATTGCATGGGTCTGGGTGCCTGTGTGCAAGAGTCGTAAAATGAGGAAAAAAGTGTTTTCTTTCACCTTGTACTTCCTGCCCTCAGGGATGTCTTGTACTGTCTACCCCAGTGGACTGATTAACTTTATAATAACACTTAAAAGATAAGAAGTTATAGACACACCAGGCCAATACTGTAACTCTGTAGCAAGCCACGAGGAGTGAGGCAACTGCAACAGGGGTGGATCTGTGTCAGACATTTGTGAATGCAGGCGAGAACTGCACAAGGAGCATAATTTACATAATTGTGCCATCTCTGATCCACATCTCAGTCCAGGAAGTAGTTGGTGACCCCAGATGATGCCTGATCAAACATGGTATCAGCATTGTGGAGAGAAAAGCAGATGAAGACATTATCAGGGAAGCACTGTGATTTCTCTGAGAGGCAATAAATATTTGCAAATGTTACAATCATAGATATCACTTAGCATACATGCATACAGTATAATATGAAAAAAAACTAAAATTTTAATTTAACTAAATACAATCTGGAATATTAAAAGTTTTTCAGTTCCACAAAGTCTCTCCCGTCTTTATATATATAACTTTATGGCCTTATATATAGGTGTTTTTACCTGAATTTATTGGGGCTTTTAAAGTGCAAAACAGTATTTAAAAAAAAGAAATAACAAACAAGACAATTGCTTTCTAATACACAGTGCTTTAGCAAACTTAATGTCATCCAGTCAGGGGTTAGATCTACTTTAAATAACCACATTGTCCTCCATCCAAACTGGTTTCAAAATGTTTGGAGTGAAATTGTTCCTGAATGACTAGCAGTAAACTTTTAGGAATCATATAGTTAACAAAGTTCACTTCCGTTTCAGGAAAATTTACATGCATCGAAGTTAAGTTTCATCTGGAACGTCAAATGGGATATTACTTGATACAGATGTACATTCCCAGCTTACTTATTGTCATTTTGTCTTGGGTGTCATTTTGGATCAACATGGATGCTGCTCCTGCTAGAGTTGCTTTAGGTATCACAACTGTCCTAACAATGACAACACAAAGTTCCGGATCGAGAGCTTCACTTCCAAAGGTAAGACTTTGTTTTCACAACTGTCCTAACAATGACAACACAAAGTTCCGGATCGAGAGCTTCACTTCCAAAGGTAAGACTTTGTTTTCTTGTGTTCTATGTTGATATACAAGATCATTATAAGTGTTTTAATTGCTGGGTGTCATTTTGGATCAACATGGATGCTGCTCCTGCTAGAGTTGCTTTAGGTATCACAACTGTCCTAACAATGACAACACAAAGTTCCGGATCGAGAGCTTCACTTCCAAAGGTAAGACTTTGTTTTCTTGTGTTCTATGTTGATATACAAGATCATTATAAGTGTTTTAATTGCTGAGGACTGCTGCCAAAAATTAAACCATCTTTCCATTGTTTAGTAGAGTGATTTAGTGTTTGCAAACGATTAAGCTGTCAGTGAATTTTGGGACAGGTGTCCATACAAAAATATATTTTGTGTTTGCAATGCCATCTGCGCTTCAGCAATTTCTGTTAGTCTGGATTTCAAAAAGTAAAAATCAGGGATGCACCGATACCACTTTTTTAAGACCGAGTACGAGTACCGATACTTTTGATCAAGTAATCGCAGATACCAAATACCGATACTTTTTCTTAAAGGGACAGGTCACATTTTTTCTAAAGCAATACAAACTAATGCTATAAGGTCACTTTCTTAATATTATGATTCATGAGATGACGAGGGAGCATGACGCCGGCTTCCTGGCCAATCAGAATGCCGGGCGCTGCGTCATTACACGGTGCCCGGCTTCCGGATTTGCTAGCTTCCTGACCAATCGGGAAGCCGGGCAGCGCGTCATTGCACGCTACCCGGCTTCCTGATTGGCCGGGAAGTCGGCTCCATGCTGTCTCATCTCATCTGGAAACCGGGCAACGTGTAATGATGCGCTGCCCGGCTTCCTGATACAGGAAATACTCGTGCTAGGTATCGGAGCATTTGGGCGAGTACTCACCCAAATACTCGGTATCGGCACCGATACTGGTATCGGTATCGGTGCATCCCTAGTAAAAATACATTTGTCTTACAACACAATGTGAACCTATCGGATTGAAAGACTAATTCCATTTTGGTTGATAGAAATGCAATCACCTCTGGGTGATCAACGTACATTGCAAGGATTTTGACAAAGTTTGTTGCTTGTTTATGTTCTGTTTATGTTCTGAAGGAAAAGGTGTTTGTTGCAGCATGTCCTTTCCAAACTGATCCCCGGGGGTTAATTTTATAACCAGCTGGTGGGCTTCCTGTGCTGTAATAGGGAAAGGTGCAGTGTCAGCATCCCTGTAGTAGTAATTAACTCTTAGGGAGTATCTCACCAAAAATGAAATTCCCATTGCAAGGCACTTTACACTTCATTAAAATGAAACACAGATATGTAAACATAATCCTGGGCTATATTGATGCACTTTATCTGTATGAACTGAAGAGTAATTTAATATGTAGGAAAGTTTGCTAACACTTTGTAATATTGATGTACCGCATGATGTATGTTTTTTGAGTACACTGAAAAGCACATATTCACGGTGTTTGATAAAATGTATTGTGCACGGAATAAAAAGTGATGACATGAATAGATACACAATACACAATATTGTGATTTAGCACTTTATTGATTATGTTAATTAATTACTGATACGCTAATTTAGTCTTTTGGAGGTATTAATTGGTACGCTGTTGAAGTATGAACTTGTAAGATTGTATATATGCTCGTATATCGGCGCATTTCCTTTTTCATACAAATTAATTTGATATTAAGTATAAAATACTTTTTTATGCTGGCAGCTGAATAGTTTGAGTTTCATTGATCCAAATATATTATTTTTTTAGCATGGAATCTGGATAGATATCTAAAACGTTTTTCTACAAAATGTGCAGATTACATTTTTATGTGCTATGTAATGATTTAATTTAACTGGAACAGTAGTAAAATCTACATATAGTTTTATCAGATCAGTTTTTTTTGGCACTGGTAAATTTTGCCACTTCTAGCACTCGACAAGGTATGTAGGGTCCTTCAATTGTGGTGTAAAGGATGAAGTTAGGGACCAAGTTAGGGCCAGGCTTTTGAGCAGAGGTGGGCAACTCTGGTCCTCCAACTCTTGTGAAACTACAATGCTAGACTGACAGTTACAGGCATCACTCCCAGAGGCATGTTGCGATTTGTAGTTAAAGCACAGCTGGAGGGCCAGGGTTGACCCCCCCTACGCTTTAGAGGCTAAAGGAAACTGGTTTGTTTAACTCCCTTTATCCTAAACATATAACTATCTGCTTTCAGGAGCCAATGTTACCAATGTTACATTAGGGTACTTGCTACTGGGCTGATCATTGCTATCATTGGGAGTCCATAGCCGTGTATAAGCTACAACTTGCTGCCCAACAGCACTAGTCTCCCACAAATGACTGGAAACCAGTCTAATCATGTGATCTCATGACAGCCAATCATAGAGATCACATGGTTTGTTTATTAAACCAACCAATTAGCTCAGCTGTCATTCTACATCACACAGAGCAGAGCTGCTTGCAGTAATTAAAGTGAAACACAGACAAACAAAATTAAATACAATAATACAATAAAAAAGTTTTACAAATAATATAAGCTGTTAAATGTTAAATATATTTTTAAAAATGCGTGTTCATTTAACAGCCAATAATACAAATAAATAAATAAACAGGAACGTTATTGAATCAATGTACCAAATAAAAGCTCCTTAAAAACTAACAAATGAATAATGTAGGTAAAGCTGTCACCGAGTCATAGTCAGGTTAACTGGTGCTTAATTTGGTCTCAGCATCTTGCTTCAAAGACCTATGGTCACATAGGGGTAAGTCTTAAAATAAAAAAAGAAAACCCTGCTTACGCACCCCTGGCAGTTTTATAATTTTGCTTGGGAGCTTGGTCTGCATGCAATGTGGAAACATATAAATAAGGAATAAGGAATTGTTATAGCGAACTGATATCATTCATTATATGTATTAATTACATAGAGATATTATAAAACAGTGTTTGCCATGATACTGGTACCTTATGATTGGTTGTTTGAGTACATGGGTAATGTGGCCTACATTCGACAGCAGAATGCAGTTAGTACTGCCGTGTGAATGAGCATTAAGTATGCAGACAGTACAACTGATTCCTTTGTTTGTCTCTTGCAGTAAACTCTGTATAGCTTCATCCTAATTCTGCCCTTCCTGGCTGTGATTATAGAGCTCTAGGGTTCAAGTTCGGGTGTCACATTATGAAGACGCTTTTCCTCCCACTACAAAGTCGCTCATTGTCTTTCTATATTTAAATGCTGTTGTCTGATAATAATAGAACATACTAGACAGATAGTGACCTGGGGGCTTTGGAAGAATGTATATATCAAAAGCTCATCTGACTTGCAGTAAGAAAAACTGTGTGGTATGACTCGTACAAGTGAAAAAAAATAAAAATAAAAGCAAAGCGTGTGTATAGAAGAGAATACCTGCTGCATCTTTTTTTAGGTATTGCTTCTCGAAAACCAGAGTCAGTTGTCATAGAAACTGGTCTTATCAGATTGCTAATGGGCCAATCAGAGGTATCTCCAAACAAATCTCATCACTTGTATACCTAATCTGTCAATCTAGTGCAACATTCAAGCTTTTTTAATATGCTGTATCAGGATATTGTGTTGTAGGTGTCTGCTTCGTGAGACATTTTAATGGGATATATTGTGAGATATTTTTCTGAGATGACAGGGAACATACTGTGGAGAACAACACGAGATAGATGTGATCACGGAATAATCAAATACTTCTACAACCCAAACTGTACCTTTAGTTCCCAGCCCAATCAAGTTATTTCTACACGTTTTTAAAAGCTTGAAGTTATGGCATGCTTAGCTGGCTATAGCATACATATTCTTTTTGTTCTTTGGCAGATACAATTTAGTGATTACTAAAAAGGGAATTATAATTACACAATGTAAAATATGTATGTAGATTGGCGTATGACAACTCAGCAAACCCAATATTCTACAATTTCAGAGGATACAGAATGGCAGATTTGAGGGGCCCTGTTAACAAGTGGGTCAGTAATTTCATTTGTTTTAGAATATGAGCAACAAAGTACAATATTATGTTAATCAGATGCATTGTTTTGCACCAACTAAACATCAATGGTTTAATTAATGAATATTTACATAAATGCATTCTGCCAGGATGCCGAGAACAATTGATTACAGCATCTGCTTTTCAGTCATCATCATCATCCTATAAAAAAAGAATGTTGACATTATTATTTTGTAAAGTGTATGCCAACCAATATCTGTTTTTAGTATGCCTGGCATCATGTCTCACTGTATACAGTTTTCTTAAGCAAATTGCTTTTTGCAAAGTTTTTTACTTGGAGTTAAGGGCTTGTTCACACCAAGTGCGGAGCAGATGCAGAGCAGAGCAGAGCAGTTACAGAATGCATCAAAAACCATTTTAATGCATTCCAATAGTATTTTGGGCTCCAGTTCACACCACCGTGTTCAGTTTCAGAACATGTGGAAAAACTGCAGCATGTCCTATTTTTTCTGCTCTGGTATGCACCAAATACATGCAAGCACATTCAAAATGCATGCAAATGCCCTGGAACACACTGGACTACACCTGAAAGCCCATTTTAGGCTAAAAAAATTGGACCAGAATGCGGTAAAACACAACATAACGCAATGCACTGCATATGCAGAAACTTATGCAGATCTGGTCCCGATTTGGTGTGAACAAGCCCTTATACCAGTAACAACACTTACTGTTGCAAGGTGACAAAGCTATGCCACTGCCTTGCAATTACTCAGCTGACTGTCTATTACATAGCCAGTCCAAAAGCCAACTAAAGGAGCTACTAATTGCAAGGCAGTGACTTAGTGTTGATTAACTTGTGACTAAGGAATGGGCAAATCTGCTTAGGTTCAATTCACAGGGTTTTGCTGAAATGTGTCAAACAAGGAAATACCATTATAATATATATAATCCGCGCTTCTGGATGACTACTTTTTTTTTA